CAAATCAAACAACAATAGCCATGATATGTTGAACGCACACACACACGAACACACTTATATGACAATGTAGACTTGCAGACGCAAGGCCAATACTTACATGTGAGGAAAATGTGCATGGGCTGGAAATTTTATGAGCCAACTGACCATAGTAACCAATGGCTAGGAAAAATGGAAATTCCGCCTTTTTACGACCCGAATATTTTTTTTTTTAGTTTTCCTTTCTTTTGTGTTAGTATAAGTCTGGCTTCCAAAAAACATATTTTCCGAACATGTTCCAACGCATTCTTTTTAGTTTTTTTTAGTCGGCCGTTTGGTTATGTTTTAGAGAATAACATAACATTTTGCCAGATTGTTTTCTTTTTTATTTTCATATTTTTACACAAATGTGTGTTTGTGTGTGCGGGACTACTGCAGTCACCGTTTGTTACGTTGTCTAGCTGAATGGGCTTAAAAGCAAATAAAAATCGAGGGAAATAAAAGAGCAAACATTTAAAGCCTAACCATATTTATGATTGTTGTTATTTGGCTTCTCTGTTTCCCTGCAAGAATCATATCCTGCTGTTTTGCCAGACAAAATAGGAATGGGGCTCATAACGAACCTTTCGTATCCGAGTTGATTTTATGCAACAAATAATAAAAAAGTGCGACTGTATATAAGAACAGGAAAAAACAAATACTGCATATTCATATTCATTAACATATGTGTGTGTGTCCTGGTTTTGTACGCTTTCCTCGGATTCTATTTTATTATATAGTTAGATGTTCACTATATTATGCAATTTCTGTTGCCAAAAACTTAGTTGCAATTTAACGGTTTGATGCTACAGTGAATTAAGGTATAGCATTTTACTTAAAAACAGTTCGTATGAAAATTTGACAATAATATAACTTAAAAAAAAGATCGTAGAAGTACTTTGGTGGCATTTTAAAAAGGATCATTTTATGATCCATATATCTTGATATATTTACTTATAATAAAAACTGACTTGCCATAATTCAAATTCAATAAACTCAACTAAATTATGTTTACTTTTAACGAAAGCTGACTCGATTGTTGTTTTCCACTGTTCATTAGGAGAAAAATTATGAGAATGCAAATACTTGTATGTATATAACATATCCTTAGTTTCTTACGAAAAAATCATGTGTATAAAACAAATAAGAAACTATTTTCAAATATTGTCTTCTTATCTTGATATGAGTATTTCATTTAAAGTGTCTGCACAAGCACATACACACACACACTTTCATGCGGATTTCCTATTTCTTTTAATCAACAATTTCAATGAAATTCGCAAAAAAATCTCAATAAATATTTTTTATGAGAATATACTTAAAGAATCTTTGAATTTTGTATGTGTGTATTATGATTTTTTTTTTGCTATGAAATATTCATAGAAGAAAATTAAATATTTTATCGACACAAACAAGTAACAAGGTCAGACATTATTAAAGAGATTCAATAGCAAAAGACGGGGAAATTAGTAAGAAAACAAGAGTAGTGAAATCATTTTGAAAGGAAATAGTTTCCTTTCTACTAAATTAAAACCAAACATACAGCACAACTTGCAGGAAATTTTCTCAGAAGAAAGTCTTTTGAAAATAAAAAAAAGATTTTTTTTTTAAATAAAAAAGAAGTAGTGTAGAATAAAAAATAAGAGGTATTGATTAGAATTATGACAAAAACCAAAACTAGGGCAATCTATTTTTATACCCTCTACCATAGTATGGAGGGTATATTAATATTGTTTTTCCATTTGTAACTCATCGAAATAATCATTTCCGACTCTATAAAGTATATATATATTGATCAGCGTAAAACTCTATGACGAACTAGCCATGTCCGTCTGTCTATTGTAATCACTCTAGCATCTAAACGAATTGAGATACATCGCCAAAAATTTTCATAGAGCATTTTCTCTGTAGGTAGGTCACGTTTAGCCACAGCTCCCATATGAGGGTATTTTGGGGTTCTTGAGCGCGCTTTCAACTGAATTCGCTGAGATTTAGTACTTTGAGTTCTTATCGGGTAGAATATCTCTCCACAAAAAATTATAAAAAGGATATTTTTATGTAGATCGCCTCCGATTTGCGGTATTTTGATGTACTTGAGCACATTTTGCAACCGAATTCGCTGTAATTTGGAATTTGTTAGTCATATAGGATAACAAACCTCCCGACCTACCCCATATTGGAATTCTGAGATGATATATCCATATGTTGTAATTATTACGTCTTCTAAGATTATCGTGATAAAAAGCCTGACGATGATGAAATATATCGGCCATTTAGGCATCTCACCCATATAATGATAACTCCTGAAGGAAGGTATTGAGATACAAAACTAAAATATTGAGTTCGGAGTTGAGCTATATCGATCATTAATTAGACATAGCCCCTTATATAATGATAACCCCAAAATTTTCGCTTAGGCATAGCCTCATATAACTTTGCACTCTAAATTGTAGTAATAGTAGTTTTAGGATGTTATACATGTGTTCCACTCTAGCATGGGTTATTAATATCGGTCCACGCTTTGGGGTTTTCAGATTTTAGGAAAAATATATAGTGCAGATAATGGTTAACATAAATCGGTTTGTAGAATTGTCGGTATAGGTCCACTTTTTGGTATATATTTCATTTCACGTAACTATAAGTATTCCTATGATGGAAGGTATTCAAAGTTCGGCCACGTGGAACTTATACCCAATTGTTCTTAAAAATGTTCAATCTAAGGTATAATATGAATTAAAAGAAATAAATTAGAATATTTTTTTTTACATTTTTCGAGATTCTGACTCCATTTTGATTCTGCAGCAGTGGTCGATTGAAAGACCACTATTATCGATCCGACTTCACAGCATCGATAAAACCTCCTTTTTTGTTTTATGTTTATCAAAGTCTAAATAGTTAAAAGTTGTTATAAATATTTTTTTTAATATCAAATTTGGGGGCTTATTTGCTCTGTTTTTGGTGAGGAAGTAAAACTATTGAAATATAGAAATTGAGCTTAATTAAATAGCTAATTACCTGATATCCGCCCTTAGCCTTTAACCTGTTACATTTAATTTCAGAGTATATGAAATTTTTTCCAAGGTCCTTACATATAGTATTATACTTTGTATACATGACTGACTATTAGATAGTCTGGTACCGAAATTATTATGTACTAATATCTACGTCGGATGCTGTTCATTTCGACGCCATTGGTGAATTATATTCTATTTACTCGTGATTGGTCTTTCAAATACCGTTAACTTCTTCATACGCTTTTTGATATTCATCATTAATGTTCGCATGCATCGAAATTAATTTTCCTCAAACAGGTGTCATCGGTGTCATATAGTTGGTATTCATGTTTTAATCATAATTTGTCGCTTTAGCAGAGCAAACAATTTGGATGATGTGAAAAGGACGAAGAAAAAATTCTTCGAATTGTATCGTTTAAAATATTTTTACGAATAAAATGAATAATTATCTCATAAATTGTTCTTACAAAAAAATAAATAAATGACTATAGCATTTTCAATTGGAAACAAATTATATAGTATTTTCAATCACTTCCCTTCACCTTGAGTTATTGCGAACAGGCCGTAAACACGTATGAATATAAAGTGACATAATAAATATTCTCCGATTAAAAATCTTTTGTTCGTTTTTAATTTCAATTGATAAATATAAAGATTTTATTTTTATTTTTTTCACTTCAGCTGTAAGTAAATATGCCAGTATATGCTTCATGTTGATATTCATTGTAAAGGCAGGAAAGCTACATGTGTGGGTCTTGCTGTTGTTATGGTTTTTCACCATAAAACGGAAAGTAAGGTAAACCTCGAAGCAAGGCTCCAAGCAGCAATATTTATCGCACTTATGTAGGTAACAATATAAGGATTTTTTTGGTGTCCTTCGCCTGCTGCAGACAAATATCACATTGTATGCTTTCATGTCAGGACAAAAGATTTAAAATAATATGTGTGACTACTCACTCGATGTTGGAAAACATGAAACATATGTGGCAAAACATTTTTGTATGTAAGAAGGATATAAGTGAATAAAAAATAATAAATATGAAAAATAAGCCGATTTTATGATAATTGAAACGATTTTATTTTTGTATTTTTAAAACTACAGCTTTTCAGAAAATATGTATAATGAATAATAATGTTATCCCAAATATTTTTACAAATAACCATGAAAACAATACACAGAGAAAAACTTAAAAAAAAATATCTTATCAAATTGAAGTCAAATTGTGGACAACATTATAAAAAATTGTATTTCCTTTCTGAGAATATTTCGAAATCCTGTCAGACAAATATAAAAGTTTTCTTTAGGGGAAAATCTGTACAAAAGTGTAGTTTTCTAAGGAAAACTTGATCTGTCACATACATTTTGTGAATAAATAATAAGCTATGGCAAAAAAGTTATTTCTGTCTGTACACCATAAGTCTTTGAAGATGATTGTTGAACATTAATGGAAGAAAATAAATCAATAATTATATGAAATCGGATGTAATTATACATGCAATTCAGTAACTGGTGCAAAATTGGAGCACCATGAAATCCGAAGAAATTTTACAGGGGAGATATATCTTAATTTGAAACGATCGTTTAATGTTTGCATACATGGGTATTTGCCTAAACGAGGTCATATTGGTCTTAAGCTTTCCTGTAGCATTTTCTCATTTCAATTTGCATTTTACCAACATTTTTTATCTTAACTCATTCTTGTTCTCATCCATCTCTACAACACTCATACACTCGCATACACACAAACAACCATCGTGCGTAAAATGAAAATGTTAACGGAAAATATTGACATCCAACTGATTTTGTTTGACTTTGATGAAAGATTTCACTGAATTCATTGACATTATCTGTCTCAATTCATTCACTCACACTTTATTCTGCTGGCAGTGTCGAACAATCGTACAAACGATATAATTGAATACCGAGTAAATTAAAAATAAATTCCATAATATCTAGGTATGTATACTTACACTGGCATGAGGTCCTCCGAAACTGTTGTGCCCGAACACGTACATATAATTTTGACGATTCACCTCAGCATGAAATAGACCAGTCTGCAGCAAGGGACCAACAACACGAGCATCTGACAATATATCCAAGACAACGTCACGATGTTCCATATTCGTAGCTTTAATGGGATTTGTGTACATGTCACTGTATCTGAAAATTGAAATTCCATTGAGGAGTTGGAGAGCATTAACTTTGGTAAACTATAAATGATTACTTAAACATACTTATTTAAACGTTACAAGTATTTCGGTTGTTATACAAATGTTAATTACAAAACTATTGAAATTCGTACACGTACACACAGTATTTGGACAATAGGAAGTTGTACCACCGACCCACCCATTGGGGATGTGCATACATAATAACTATATTTTATATAAATATATTTATTCAATGGAAATAGTTAAATATCGTGTTAAAATATTCAACTACATAGTGACGTGTGTGAGTATTTATAAAATATCCCCTTTTTGCTTTTCCGCACACACAAACATCATTCATCTGTGTTTATTGGTCTTTTTCAAGTACATGGCCCGGAGGAAAATGTTATAATTGAAATGAAAATGTTGCAAAGGAAATGAGTTTTGTAATCGTTAAATATTCATTATCATTAAAGGCGGCATTTCCTTTGAATTCTATACAATTGAAATTTGCCAATTTTTAGTTTCCATGACATACACATGTAAATGAGTGTTATGTATGCACGTGTATGTCAACTTTTGGTGTTAGCAGAGATATTTGCTTTTCATTTGCCTGTTTATTATTAATAAACTATTTGCATGTTTTAAATTAGAAATTAAAACCCCATTATTATAGACTAAACACGCCATCACATTAATCTTAAATGCCAGCAAAACCGATATCATGGCAATCCATTCGATCTTCTAAGGTAGTATTAGGGTAATTGAAAATGTAGATATAAGTGAAATAGTTTAATTTGATATTCATTGGCAAAAATGGTCTTTACAAATTGACAAAATGTTAACCCACCGAATCGAGATAATGCGCAAGACAATGGGGACAATAATTTAATTTTATAGTTAAGCAATTATTTTGTGTTGTATTTCTGGGTCATGTTGGGCCATTTTATTTAAATGTTAAAAAAAATATATGTAAAAATATTCATATTTGTGTTTCCTAATATCAAAAATACAAACAAATATCTCTAAAGGATATGAAATAATCACCATTACAAACGGAAAATAAAACCAGTGAGCAGAACAGTAAAGTCTGACGGGGCTGACCATGTGATAACCTACACAACTAGCGCTGAACTCGAACTATTTCGCGATATGTGCACCCTTTTGACCGATTAGATACTCTTTATTACGCTTGTATATTTCCCGAATTATGTTTACCCGGAATGAACATTTACGCCATGCAATTCAAATTTTCTTATTAACCCACAAAATTCTTCGGTCATTTGACAAGCTAAATATTGACCGATCACTATCAAAAAGTTGGCACGATCCCATGCCAGGTCTCTAGAGCGACTAGAAAACCAGACAAAAGTATATTTTATCCGCCCATTTCTTACCAGAATATCATTCGATCGTCATCGTTAATTATAGATCTTCATCCACGACGCCCTTTACGCATAACTCCCACATCGGATGACTAAGAACAATATAATTTGTATCAACCACTCGTCTTGAATATACTAATAACCTCTCCGATCTATGTTCTTTAGGAGTAAATATATGAAAAGGAGTAAATATATGGAATGCTAATTTTGGCACTTTTTACACAAAAGTCTTGGTCAATTTTATCTGCCGATGTTTATCAAAACATTAATTTACTTTCTTTGACCAGATCCCCTTCCACATGTAAAATTGCGTGATGTTCGGGTCATAATAATGGCATCTGCAGTGATCGGAAAAACAAACAAAATATAGTTTTTGGTGCATTTCATCTACTAAATATTAATCGATCATTACAAAAATCAATACATTTCGTAACGATGGGTCCTTGGTCCTTGGCAACATAGTTGTATATGGTATAATGACATTCCATTCTAATTCTCGGTATTGGACGGAATCGGGCACATGAATAAATGTGTAGTTTGTAAAAAGTTTGGCCCCGCCGATTTCTTAATTTGTTTCATTCTATTGTTGGAAAGTTTTTAAATCTTGGCCTGGCCAAATTTAATGTCATTCTTATTTTTTATATACCATGAAAGTAGTTTGTTATTGCATAACACATTTGCACTTTTCATAGCCTTCAGAATAAATATTTTATTTCAAGCAAATACGTCTTGTTTATACCGAACCTCTGAGCACAACAAGCTAAGTAAATCTTTTGTAGTGTAAAAGCCTCACTTGACAATCATAAGAAGTGACAACCTTGTTTAACCTCAAGGCTTTCAAGGAGCATTATTGCAACGTTGTGTACTTCTGTTGGTAGCGAACGCTACCACTATCAAACAACAGGGTTGGTTCCTCAAACGGATGATGCTGATGACGAAACATGAATACACACGCACGCATACACACACACACACACATGTACTGTGTACAATGTGTCCTTTCATGTGAAAAAAGTACCGCAATACTGAGACGAATCTACGGAATGTTATCCCAAGTGGAGTAAAGGGGTAGGGCAATAACATGTTCTAAACCTAATACGTTTAAAATCAACCACAGACAACAGGGATTCTGGTACCTGAAAATATAAAACAACGATAAGGAAACCTGGCGACCAATGTTCTATTGAAGAAAAGTTAAAGATTTTCTGATTGTATGCTTAACAATATGTATATACATATTGAAGATGAAGTTACAGTAGTGCAGAAATATTTTCATAAATTTTTTAATTTAATGTTTTATAAAGTTAGGAAAATATACACATTGTATGTGTCGAAAAATATTTATATTATCATGGAATGTTCTAGAGAAAACGAAGACATTTAAAAATGTTGTCCCTAATTGATATACTAGACGTCATAAAGAAGATAACACATTTGCCTTTTACTGTACAATTGTTCAACATTCAAAATGATACTAGACTGGTATTTGCCATTATAATCATATGCACATGTGTTTGGGTGTGTGGCTGTGTATCAACGTGTAGAAGGCTATGTCATGTACGTCTTATTTATGTGGGTTAACGAGCCAAAGCACATAACACTTAAAGGAAGCACAACAATCCACCTAAATAAGAGGTTTAATACCATAAGTGCTGCTACCTAAGAGTTAGGAGAAAAATAAGAAGACGACGACGAAAGACAAATTTAACCTCAAACAAACCAAGTAAACCAAACTATTTTGCACTTTATTACCCACAAAAACAAAATAATAACAAATGTAAACTCATACATACTAATGAGTAAGTGTGGGTGTGTGTGAGTCTAGGTGATTGTGTGTGTGTGTAGGGGAATGCTACTTCTTAGTAACAATTTTACTTACAATTTTGTCTTAGCCTTATATTCGACTATGTGGGAGTGTGTGTGTGTTTGTTTTATACTAATGCAAATAACACCTGCAGCTACAACTAAACTCATGTGTGTAGTTGTAAATGCATGGACATTTATTGTTCTGTGTAGCTGTGTATGCATTGAGCAAGTATGTTTTAAATAGTCAAATGTACACAAATACCAACACCTGTACAAAAACAAACAACTAATGTCTACAGATAACCAAGCATAACTATATCTAAATCTCTGTTAACATTTACTGTAAATGCTATGGACTTGTATTTCACCTTGTAGACCGCAAATACACCCACACAGCTAAATACCTCATACGTGTAGACGAGTAAATTCGGAAAATGCATATGGGTGTGGGCTGAGGGTGGAATATATATATATATATATATTTATGTTACGAAGTCTTTTGTTGCCATAACGAAATTTATACACACACACATACCCACCGAAATGCAAACACAAATACATTTTCTCTCATATCTCAATAAATAAATACATTGGCAACAGCTGTTGCAACTATTTTCTTTGTATCCCACGCTCCACCTCCAACCGGTGGGAATGATTCAAAGTAAACACACACACATACACGCAGGCACACATACACTCATGTCGATACATTTAATTTGGAAATGTACTCTGAGTAACACTTAAAGCCCGGTTAAGCCAAATTTGCCATTAACATTTAAAATGATTTGGAAAAACAAATTAAATACCTATAAATGGCGTATGAGAAAAATCTTCTATGCCTTTGGAAATTATAAACAATTTGTAGAAGTAAATTTAGATTTACATTATGGGTGAAGAGAATTAAAATGTTAATAATGTACGAGTACTCGCAGTATATATATGGAGCTATATCTAAATTTGAAACGATTTCCGCGAAACTTAGCACACATCATTCTAGAATCAATTCAGTAAGCTGTGCCAAATTTCGTGCAAATTGAAAGAAATGTAGGGGCTTTGGTGCTTAATTAATATAAAATCGGACGAAAAAATATATAGGAGCTATATCTAAATCTGAATCGATTTTAACGTTATGTTATAGTAACTTCAGTACGTTGTGCAAAATTTTGCGGCAATCGGACTAACTTTGGGTCTTTGGTGCACCATTTCATTAAAATCGGACGAATGTATATACATATGGGAGCTGTATCTAAATCTGAATAATTTGTTTCCAATTTCAATAGGGCTGGTCCTTGAGTCAAATAAGTGTCCTGTGGCAAATTTCATCCAAATCAGGTCATAAATGCGACCTGAACTTTTTTTACAATTTAACATGGACAGACGGACGTACGGACATGCAAACCCTCTGTCACAGTGTGGTGAAGGGTATAAAAATGGTTTGAAAAATACCTTAATATCGAAATTTATTCATACCCAGTTTTTTGCTTTTCTTTAACCAAATTACAAAAGTATATTGGAATGAACAGTCTATTGTATGGACTTTTTAATTTTTTAAATAATAAAATGTTTAAATTTCTCCTTTAACTTTTAACAAATAAATATGGCATTATTAATGTTAAATATATGACGTCTTTGTTGTATTTTTTTATTATTGCCATAGTATTTATGCATATAATATTTTTCTTAAATACTGCATATCAACATGCCACACATAAAATGTCCCTTTTTGCCGAATATAAATCTTACACATAACCTAACAGTCGTAGCCAAGCACAAAACCACAAATATATATGACTGCCGTCTTTGCTTTTATTTGTGGCTT